GGTAAACTGATGAGACCTACCTTTATCTCGATATAAACGGTTTTGCGATCAACTAGCTCTATAAAGTGAATGTCGCCGAGATCAAAAGAACCTTTTCTGTTGGGTGAAATGACCTGAGACTGTCGCAAGACAAAACGGCAACCACGCTAATGACTATCAGCCTTACTGTTGCTAAGGTAACGAGAAACAGAAATTTGAACCAATCAGAGGCTGAAATATTTACAGAACGATTTCCAGAGTGCTCCTCTGAGTACGCGTGCGAACTATTTCCAGACCTTTTTTTTTTTCTATTTCTCGCGGCCGGTGTTTAGAGGGTTTCAGAGTGACTACGAATAGATCGAAAGTTTCAACACAATCGAATCTGAAATTAAGTGAAGAACCAATAAACCACGGCATGAAAGCTTGGTAGAAGAAATAAAAAAAGTGTTCTATATTTTAGTCATGTGCATGTTACAGAGATGCATAGGTTTGAAAATGCAGAGCTCTGGCTCTGTACTTCAATGGTTCACAAGTTACCTGTCAGACTGAAAGCAGCGAGTTTCCCTTGATGGTGCTTTTTCAGAGTGGCGCCCAGTCACCTTATGGGTGCCCCAGGGTTCTATCTTGGGCCCTCTACTGTTCCTGGTCTTCATCGATGACCTGGCGGACTGCATAACCAACGGATCCAGTCTAGATCTCTTTGCAGATGACGGAAAGTTGTAACGCCATATCCACACTGCAGACTCAATCACACTACTTCAAGCTGATTTAGATTGTTCCAAAAGATGGTGCGACGACAATATAATGGCATGGCATTCAGTACTAACAAATGCAAAGTGCTACATATGTCCAAGGAAAGATCTCGCCGCCGAGAACAGCAAAATTATTGTTTAAATGATTAAATATCACATTCTCCTTCTACTACAAGAGATTTGGGTGTGACCATCACAGACTCGCTCTCGTGGTCTACGCACATCGAGCAGACCTGTGTAAAAGCCAATAGAGTCCTTGGTCTTATTAAGCGAGTGTGTGGAAGGGATATAATCGACGAAACTACTAGAAAACTGATATACACTACACTAGTCCGCCCTATTTTAGAATACGCCTCGTCCTTATGGTCTCCTTACACTGCTAAACATCGTAGGCTACTAGAGAATATACAACGGCGGGCCACCAGGTTTATCATGAACTATCCTGATAGAGACGCTTACCCCTACTCTGAGCGCCTGATCAAACTTAAACTTCTGCCACTCGAATACAGAAGGGAATCTCGTGACTTAGTTTTACTTTTTAAAATCCGATGTGGTCTTATTAATGCAAACTTTAATCATCTCGTTTTTCTCATTACATCTCGTTATATGACTCGTCATTATCATCCTTCAAACTTTCGCCCGATTACTACTCATACACAATAGTACTTCATCCAGTCTTTTTTCCCAAGATCAATTAAACTTTGGAACAATCTCTCTTCCGAACTGAAACAAGCCAAAACTATAAAAACCTTCACACACTCTCTTCTACTTCACTATATGGACAAAATGGATAAGTACATTCCGCCCTAGCTTCCAACCTGACTTTCATTGGTTTTTAAATATTGTTTATGAATATTGTGATTTTATTGTTGTAATTTGTTAGGGGAACAAATGCCAATTGGGGCGTGCCCTGTTTTTTTTCCTCCTGCCTTTGTTGTACCTTTTTATAGATATTTTTGTGTTGTATGTTGGCGAACCTT